CTCTCATCCCCAGGCAGGCCTCAGGGAGAAGGAGGGCCCTCGGGCAGGTTCTAACCGGAGTTTGCAGGGGTGGTGGAGGCAGGGAGAGCATCCCCGTGTGTACAGACTGGAGCATGGAGCACGGGCGTGCACGTATTCTTCAACTGTGCACTGACTGAGCTCATGGATAAGCGAGGCCCGGGGAGCATCCAACCAGAGAGACCAGTGCTGCTGTGAGGGAGCTGTCACTCTGTGGTGAGACAAGGCCGATGGAGGCCAAAGAAGAAAGTTCCCAAGAGGCAGGTGTACGGAGCAGCGATGCACAAGGGGAAGTAAGTCCTATGAGAAGCAGTTTGTGTCTCTGAGGGGAGTGACAAAATTGCCAGAAACCCACTGCATCCTGAGAGCGCTCCAGGCCGGGACCAGGTCTGGCTCCTCTTCCTCTTCCCAGCACAGTAGGTGCTCAGCGACCACTGGCTGAGGGAACACATGGATGCACAATGCTCGGATGGGGCAGCTAGCTAGCTGCTCCCGGGAGTGGCAGGTGGGAGGGAAGGCCTTCTTAGAGACCATGCTCTTTGAGCAGTATTTCGCAATAGAAGGAGGCCTTTTCCAGGCAGGTAAGACAGGGAAGAGGTTCTGGGTAGAAGGAACAGTGGGTGCAAAGGCACTGAGGCAGGCATCCAAGAGCTGGAGTATTTGGTGGATGGGTCTCCATTCTGGAATGTAGGGTCCATGTCGGTCAACCACAGGCAGATAATGTGGCTGGAGAGGGGGCGGGGGGCAGGGGGCGGGCAGAACAGGGCCTCAGAAGCCATCCTAACAGGCTGGGATTTTGAAAATTAAAGGAAGCCCGGAGTTCAAGGGTTTTAGGCAGGGTGGCGATTTGAGCACCATGTGTGGGGGCTGAGGAGGGGGCATCGACAGGGAGCAGGCCGTGAAGTTAGGGCTGGTCTTGACTCCAGCTCCTGCAGAGCAGGGAGTGGGTGCAACAGTGTTGCCCCCCCCCCATTTCCGGTGGTGGCTGTGCTTGGGTGACACAGGCAGGGACTCCCGGGCTGCTCATGCTGGAGGCCCCTTGAATCATTTAACCCAGCACCCCCATTCCCTGGATGGGAAGCCTGAGGCCCAGGGAGAAACGCAACCTGTCCAAGGTGTCATGGCACAGACAGGACTGGAACCCAGGCCTTTGAGCTCCTAATCTGGTTTCTCTCCACAGACAGATCTGGCTCACAGCCAAGCCCTGCTACTCCCCTGGCTACACGACCTTAAGAAAAATTTGTCAACTGGACTGTGGAGGTAACAATGTTTCCCTTTCGATGTTGTTGTGGAGGACTAAATGTGATAACTCATGACAAGTGTCTCCGCAGCCTAACGCCAGGCAGGCTGCGCTCAGTTAGTGGTAACTTCTTGTCTAAGCGGCCGGGGTTCTGCTCCTGCTCCCAGCATGGTGTCCCAGTGCCCGTCTGTGGCTGGTCCTGTGTGATACAGGGGCTTCCGTGGCAGCTGAGCTAGCCGGGGTGGGGGCATTTCTCAGGTTGTCCACCGAGGCAGGGGCTTAGACCTTGGCTTAATTGGGGTTAGGGCTCATACTGATTCAAAACAGCAAGTCGGTCTGGATTAGAAAATAAAGTGAAAACATGTCAAAAGGAGTGCATGTGCAATTTTGCACAGGTGGGGTGAATTTCCCCATGCGAAAGCACTCTTCCACTCACAGAAAGATTCATGGCAGGGTTCCTTTAAGTCACCTGTTCCTCTTGGGGTCAGTTTCCCTAGCGTGACTCACACTGGCCTTCCAGGAAAGAGCCTTCTGCGCCCCACAGTCCCGTCCCCGCTCCTCGCCTTCTTCAAGACCCCCCCGAGCTCTGAGCCCAAGCAGAGGTAGCCTGGAATGGAGCAGAGCAGACTCCACAGACGGTGACACCCACCACGAGGTCGTGTGCCACCAAGAAAGAAAAGGCCGGCCGTGACAGTGAGAGGTGGCTGATCGGGGCACAACCCTGGTGTCAGGATGGTTAAAACGTGGAACCCGTGGAACACAGTGCTTGAGGACCAGGGTCCGCTGGGCAGAACAAGTCAGCACGAACGGCGGAGTGGAAATACGCAGAAGGGGGCCCGTCCCCGAATTACAGTGGCCTCACATGGTTTATCATCTTTTCTGTGGGAGAGAAGGCTCTCCACAGGCTGGATGAGGACGGGCAGTGGCTCCCTCAGACTCCCCACTGTGTCCCCACCACTTCCTGTAGTAGGTGTTCAACCAACACTTGCTGAATGAAAGACCCAAACGAAGCCACATTATAAAACATGAGAAAAAAACCCAGACAAACCCAGAGAAAGAACATACATCATTCACAATCCCCCCACTGTGGGTCTTTTGGCTTTATTTCCTTCGAGTCTTATTGCCTATGAATATGCTCTTTCATATACATGTAAACATCACGGATGATCAGGTTTGGCTCCGGGATGTGTTTTTGTTATTTCTCTATTAATATGAATGAAATGATGGAATGAGATGATGTGGAAATGGGTTGAAGTCTGCAAAATATTTACCCACATATCTTATTATTAGTTATAATTATCATAGCAATAGGGATATGAATGAGGCTGATTTTCTGCAAACACACTTCTGAGCAAACAATGGATCTGCCCTTGGACGCTGGGAATGTGCTCTGCTCCTACCCACTGTGGGGAGTCCCTCTGTTTGGGGAGAGAAAGAGACGGAAGGGTCCTTAGAAGTCATCAGCTCCAACTTCCCACCCGGCCCACAAATGTCTTCAGTCACTAGTGGAGGGAAGTGGGGGTGGGGTGGGGGAGGAGCTTCCCTCTGTCCGGCCGGTGGCTGGACGGAGCTCCCCTGCGGGTTTCTGAGCATATGCTCCCCCCTTGTGCTGCTGGCAGGGTGGACGGAGACACCGACACATCATTCATGGACACACGTCACTCACGGCAGGCGCGGCAGGACCCACAAAGATTCTCTCCTTGAGCAAACTAGCCAGGCCCCTCCGAGCCTTCTCGACGGACACTCAACATCGGCCTTTGAAGACCTGAACAGACACCGACATCATCTCTGACAGCTCAAAGCGACATCCCTGGGATGCGCCCAGCCCCCGCCCCCTTAGAGTTCCCATGGGAGGACACTCAAAGCTGCTGAGAGAATCTACTACGTGTTCCTGCTGACCCCTGAAGACGGGGGCTGTGACTGCCTGTGTCCACGGGAGGGTGGGAGCCCAGCTCGGAGAGGTACCAGCCGGGACTCCAAGGACTTTCTCAGGGACCCTCCTCTCCTCCCCACTCGGTAATGTTTCACTTCCCTGACTCTGCCCGTCAGCTCTGTACACATCGCTGGGCCCTCTTTCCTAGTGCAGTAAGTACGCTACTGATCATACTCTGTCCGTGCCGCTGTGCCTGGCGCCTGGCTCTGCTTGCCTTTGCCAGGGCCCTGAGGCTGGCGCTCACCCTAGGCTAACCGCTTGGGCTTGGTTCTCCCAGACTGCCCATCCATCTGTGCGTCTCGACTTGTTAGTCTGCATTTTCACTCCTTAAAAAAATTTATTTTCAATTACAGTTGACCTTCAATATCATATTAGTTTCAGGTGTACACCATAGTGGTTAGACATTTATATAACTTATGAAGTGATCTCCCCCTGCCCCCCGATAAGTCTAGTACCCACCTGGCACCATACATAGTTGTTATAATTTTATTGACCGTATTCCCTACGTTGTACTTTACATCCCTGAGACTATTTTTCTGACTCAGATCCTCAGTCCTGGACTTGGCTTCCTGCTGTCTGGCTCATGCCCTCCTTCTCTGTCCTTAAGGAGGAGGCTTTCTGGGTGCACAGCTCGGTCCCCACCTTGCGCACCCCACATGCTCCATCTCCGCTCACCCCACCTGTCGTGGTCGCTGGGGCCTGGCGGGCGGGCCAAGCTCCCAGCCTGCTCGCCCCGGCCTCGAGGCTGCCACCCCACCCCCTGCCTGCTGCCGTGGAGGCTGAGCCTGGCCTTTAGCAACTGCCCGGTGTTAAGTACAGGGCGCAGTTCCTGGCGTCCACACCATCAACTTCCCCCCAGAGATCCAAAACTATAGCTTGCTTACATGTTTCATGCAGATTCTAATACAGAGCATTGTTTTATAAAATAACTAAAGCGCTCTGGTCAGGATAGATGGAAGATGACATTCCGTCAGGTTCAAAGAATGAGCTGAACCTGGGAGTTGCCTGTGTCCGTCTCTGAGCGGTCCCCACCGCTCTCCCCACTCTCCCTTTCTGAGGACCACGCGCCTCCTACGCCCCGGCCCTCACCCCTCAGGCCGCCAGGGCGGACTGTCCTGTCCGATCTGGTTCAGAACTTCCTCAGAGTCCCGGCCTCTCCCGCCTTCATTCCGGGCAAACCACGGGTAAGAAGAGAGTCCTGGTCTCCCCAGTGCAGCTTCTCGTGGAGAGCTGGCGAACATCTCCCTTCCAAGGTGTGGCACGCACGTCAGACGGGGCTGTGCCAGTGCCCCCACGGACACGCGGCGGTGACGCAGTCCCGCTTGGCTGGGCGGGCCTTCCCTGGCACCCTGCCGGAGGCTTCCTCCCGCCCAGCTCTATCCCGAGACGCACCCCTTCCTTTGCCTTAGTGTGGGCGACTGGACTACATGAACACACGTGATGCCACATGTCAAATCCAGTTAGAGTTTCCCGAACCATCCACGGTGCCCCCCTCCCTCCTCCCTCCGAATAGACCCCCCGACGAATGTTCTGGTAAAGCAAAAACAACCAGTTCAATGACGAAGGTGATAAGCGGGGTTTCCTTCACACCCACGTTTGGGAACCGACACAGGGTATTAGAAAACCAGGCGCAAAGCTCAACCGACACCTTCTCCACTTTCCCGGCGCGTCCCTTCGCGGAGCCCAGCGTGCTCCAGCCCCTGGGTGCATTCAGAACCTTCCAGAAGTGGGCACCCCCTTCTCCGCCTCACGCCTCTGCAGGTGGCCCGGACAGCGGAGGACCACCGGCCGAGGGAGCCCGGAACTTACCCTCTGCTCCTGCGTGGCCACGAAGGTCTGGAAGCCTGGAGCCACCCCAAAGCCCAGCTCTTGGATGAAGGGCGGCTCAGACTGGCTGTGGATCTGCACTTTCACCCCCGCTTCAAATGTCGTCTCCTCTGAAAGACAAAGAGGGGCAGAACCACGCGTCAGAGACAACAGGCACTTGGGGGGTCCGGGGGGAAAAGCTCAAAGGGACACTGGAGGGGCCATGTGATAGGCAGAATCAAAGCCCTCAAAGTTGTTCCCCTCCTTGGCCCTGAAAACTGTCAACAGGTTAGCTCCATGGCAGAGGGACACGGAGGATACGGTGGAGCTATGGATCTGGAGACAGAACATCCTGGGCTACCGTGTGTTCCCGTGTGATCAGCAGGGTCCTTACAACAGGGAGGCAGGAGGAACAGAGGCAGAGGCAGAATGGGAACATTCTAAGCTCCTGGCTTTGGAGAGGAAGGAGCCACAAGCCAAGCGACGTAGGCAGCTTCCAGAAGCTGGAAACGGCAAGCGAGTGGATTTCCCCCAGAGCCCGCGGAAGGAACGGAAGGAACGCAGCCCTGCTTACACCTGGATGCAGCCCAGAGAAACCCAGCAGGGACTTCTGGCCTCCAGGACGGTAAGACGATACATTCACACTGTTTGGAGCCTGTAGGTTGGTGGGGATTTGTTTCAGTAGCAATAGGTAACTAGTTCCGGTGAGTTTGGTCAACACTTTGCTCGTTTTCCAAAACGAGTTAATGGGATGAGGAGGTGACTCAAGCACCTTTATTTTATTTACAAACTTTTCTCCTGGGCTGTGAGCTGAAGGCGAGGCGATCAGGGGGAGGAAGACACGGTGATCGGCCGCCGAGACAGAAATACAGGGCTCGCCTGTGTTGTGTGCCATGGGTCTGCACCTCGGAGCTGCAGGAGATGGGCAGCCGGAAGAGGAGCTCCTCCTGTTTTCCTCTGGAAATGGCCCTTGGCGGTGGGAGGTGGCAGGGATGTCAGGAGGTGATGGGACGGCAGAGCCTGCACAGCCTATAGGTTGGTGCTCAAAATTGGTGGCGAGTGCACTCTATCGGAGGTACAGCCTTTCATGGGCGTCCTTCTCTGTCTTAATCTTTCCGAGGAGCCTGCCGAAAAGCTTTCCAAAGGGCAAACCCGTGCAGCCCTCTCCTGTGCTAATGAGGAACGCGATTCCCCTGACCCGCCCTGTTCCAGCCCTGCTCCGGGCAGCCTTCTGCTTCGGGGCCGCCCGGAGTGGTTGTTCCTGGTCCTTGCCCAGCACAGATACACACAGATCTCCCGCCCGGATGTCTCTACCTCGCCCACCTGGCCATCCCCCTACCCGTCCCGGACACTTAGCTCCCAGCTCCACCCAAAGCAGCCCTTTCACCCGCTCTGCTGAACTCTTCACGTAGGACTGAGCTGCCCCCGCGGAATAATTCTTTGTCTAATGGCTGCTTCTCCGGGCGGGAGCATCTTGAGGCCAAGTTTCGGGATTTCTCTCTGGATCTCAAAGGCCCTGCCCAGGACCAGGCCTCTACCAGGTACTTAGGATGAGGGAGAGACTTGTGACTCAGACCGCACTCACGTATTAACGGGCAAGGCCGGCTGAGGGTCTGCGTTAAGGACGTTCTGAAAGGAGAGAGTGAGGACAGGATGGGCAGGAGAAGATGGGTGGGGAGAGGTGGAGGTCGGAAGTGGGGGGGGGGTGTTAGCACTCGGGCCACAGCTGGGGGAGAGTTCAGGGACATGCACTAAAGCTGGCACAGAAAAATAAGGTGAGGAAGGAAGGGCTGGGAGCAGGCAAAGGGGCAGGACCCACAGACAGCATGAGGACCAGTGACCGAGGCAGGGGAAGGGGTCCGAGTTGGGTAGAAGTCCAAGGCTGGGGGTACATGGAAAGAAAGGGTTAGTAGGCAGACAGGGCCTGGGGGGAGGGTGGGCAGGGTTTTGTGGTTAGATGAGGAGTCCAGTGGCAGACACAGGGTGCAGACAAGAGAGACCCTCGGCCGGCCATTCTGTCTTTGTGGTGAGAACCCCACGGAGCCCATGAACACATCAACTGTTCTTCAAACTCTTTACCCAGATCACTTGGTCCAAACTCCTGCCCGTCGGTCCCTCCCTGTATGCCTGTGGCTCTGTGTTCTTCTCTCCCGTCTACGGCAAACACGACGCTTGCTTTATTCATTCCCGTGCCCATGCCTGTCCCGGGCCGGGCCCACAGGAGATCAGGGCGGGCTGTGGCAGAAGGATGATGGGCGGGAAGGGGAGGGCGAGCGGGCAGCTTTCAGCGTTTTCTAAGGCCTGCCTGAGAGCCGGGTGGAGGAGAGGCAGGGGACCCCCCAGAACAGGCTCTCCGTGGGGAAAGGGCGAACGTGTTGTGATGTCAGGGTGGCAGGTGCCCATGCTTGGGTGGACTGAGCGCTCATTCAGAGGTCGAGCGGAAGGGATGCCAAAGCTTGCCGGGCACCTGCTGTAGAGCTGGCTTAAGAAACCTGCAAGCCAGCGAGGCAGACTCCAAGGAGGGTCCTGCGGCTCCCGGGGAGACATGAAGCCTTTCTGTTGGAAATGCTGCGAGTCCCGGGCAAAGCAGACAGGGGGCGCGCCAGTGTCAGTGAGAGCTGCCCCAGACCTGGCGGACTGGGTTAGGATTCCCAAGGGGAGGCGATTCCAGAAGCAGCCGGCGCTGGGGCAGAGTGAAACACTGGGAAAACGTCGTATCTTTACAAACATCCAGCGACCGATGGGCACGAGAGGAGGGTGAGAAGGTTTCTGTGCTCAGCCGAGCTGCGCTGTCCAGCGGAACTTTCTGCTGAGGTGCAATGTTCCGTGAACGGTGCCATCCGGCGTGGTGGCCGCGGGCCATGCCAAGTGTGGTTATCGCAACTGCAATTGTATTTACTTAACTGATGAATTCCCCCTACCTTGACGGAGGCACCATCGACAAATAACTTTGGAAGATAAAGTATGCAGCATGATGATCTGACGTCCATGCCCACCGCAAGAGGATTTCTTCCATCGACTTCATACCTCCATCACTTCATGTATTTACCATTCTTGCTCGCTCTATTGATTTGTTTTTTATTTCATTTTAATTTGTTACATTTAAATAGCCACAATGGCTAGTGACACCCTGCTGGGCGGTGCCACTGCAGACATCAGAGCCCGTTGGAGCAGTGGGGTGAGGAGCACCCCCCAAACCCTGCTTTCCTGAGCAGCGGCCCGTGGATCTCTGGCCCGGAGGCCTGGGGATCTGGCTGAGGTCTGAGCAGCGGGATTCATGGTCAGCCCGTGACCGCAGGCCGGATCCTCTCTGGCCTGACCCTTCCCAAGCACCCCTTATTTTCACGACTCCAGGTAGAGTTTGTTCCTCTTCTTTCACAGAACTGCCCTCGGGTGCCCTCTGTGGATCATGCTCTAGTGTGACAGTGAACAGCGGTCCTGGAGTCCCTGCTCCGCACCCACCTCCCCACCTGCCCCGGCACAGTGCCTCCCCCATTTTCTGCACACGGCGTGTTATCAGTGCATAGAGAAAGATCCGGCTGCAGAGCTGAAGGTATCAAACACAGATGCTAGAGCCAAAGGCTCGGAGACTGTGCACCTCTGAGGTTCTCTAACTAGAAAGCACACTGAAATCACCTATGACACTCTGGGTCATGATTCTGGGGACCCGCCCCTAGAAGTTCTGATTCAGTCACTCCGGGATGGAGCCCAGAAACCTGTATTTCCAGGGATTCTGGTGTGGGTTATTTGAAGCCAAACACATTTGGGCAAGCAGCAATCTAGTCTGCAGAGGGGAAGTGACTGGCCCAAGGTCACACAGCAAGCCAAGAGCAGAGCAGGGGCGAGAAGCCAGGTCTCCTGGCTTACAGATCACCACTTTTTCTACCCCACTCGAGGTGTGGTTTATTTCATCTCAGCAGATGCCCTGCCTCGGGGCTCTGGGGTTTCCCAAGGGGGATGAGTAAAGGGAATAGGTTCTCACTGTCATATTCCTGGCAGCCCCAGCACACAGTGCCTGGAACAGAGCGGGGCTCAGCATTGTTGGGCGAAGCCACTGAGTCAGGAAGTGTCCTCTGCCGAGTCTACTGTTCTCTGCCGCCGGACCAGCTACGAGCCTGCTCCGGGTCTGACTGGAGGCCGGGAAACACCCATACCACATGCTGCCTGTCCTGGGGCTCGGGCGGTCTCGGCTGCTGAGAGACAGGCGGGCTGCACACCAAACAACAGCAGCAGCAATAACAGCAATAACAGTAGCTGGGACCCCCCACACCAATTTTGGATCCCGGTGCCAAGGGAACATGTGGGGGCTCCTTCCTAAAAATTCTCGAGTTTGAAGACAGCCACAGCAGAACACTAAACCCCCCTGAGCACGGGGGCCTGAGTGAGCACACACGTCGCGCATCCAGGACGCCAGCCCTGGCGGCAACCCGGACGGGCAGCCCAGAGCGGTGCTGGATGGAAGCGTTCACATCCCCACATTCCTCTCTCCACTGAGTGATTCAACACTGAGCTGCTTCAGAGAGTGCAGGACCCGAGTGCAGGGAGGGATTGTTTACACATCAAGAATACCAGGAGTCAAAGCCCCAGAGAGCACGAGCGAGCGAGGCAGAGAGAGAGGGAGGGAGAGGGAGAACCGATCAGGGAAGTCACTGCACACAGGGTCAGGAACCCTCGTTAATTGGGACCATGCTGAAACCCAGGCAGCTCGCCATGAAAGATGATGTTGAATCAGGAGGAGGGTGGTAGAGCTTGTTCAACTTGCAGAGGCTGAACCTCTCCTTCACTTTCCAGGAGCACGGCCATGGTGGCAGGAGGTGAGGGCTACCTGGGGTGTTTTCTGCTGCTGCAGAGAGGACATGGAGGCTCCACAGAGGAGACAGGGAGCGATGGGCAGAATGCATAATGAGGCAGGGAAAGAACATTGCAATAAAATAAGCTTAAATCTTTAATCTTTGCAAACTGCAAGGAAACACGCTGAGGAACTAAACACTGGAGGGATGTAGGAAGGGACGCGCTGGTCTGAAAATGCGGAGACATTTTCTAGGCTAAGGCAGAGTTGTGCTGATACAAAGCAGTTTTATGTTGGAGGAGTCTGACTTCGTGACAGTGGCTGGGAGAGCTAGCTTGGAAG